GGAGCCCCTTACTCCACAAATAACTGCATTGATTTCTCATTGTACCCTCTGTGGGGAGAGTAAAGTAAGTAGACGAACATGTTTTACTTGCAATAAATATTAATTAAGAATTAAATGATGTCTTTTTTACGAGCCCTGCCTAAAGTCTCACAGAGATTCACAATCTCCCTCCCAATTTTCTTCTGCTCCAGATCTATACATAGCATAGTGAACATCCCCACAGCATGCTGGCACAACTGCACTGGCCCGTGAACTGGGGACACAGAGCCTAGGTTCCTCCCATTTTCTACTCACTCAAACTCATATGCATGGATGGGGGGGGCGGGCATGACAACCCCCAAAGAGGTCTCTCTCTCCATACACACAGTTCCCCACAGTATCGGCAGAGGAGTAAGATCATGCCTTATGCCCCTATATTTCCCTACACAGGCATGCAGAATGGACCACAATCTGTCCCAAGGGGCTCAGTTTCAGATTCAGAGTAAGAAAAAGGCTGGTGCTACACCTAGGAAGGAGTAAAAACCACAGTCCTGCTTCCACCTTGCCATTTTTTGGAAGGGAAGACGTCACCCACAAAGGTACTAGCAAGGAGCTGCCTTTGTTTTCAGGGTTGTTTGCAGCCACTGTGCAAAAGATGGAGACTTTTTTCACTCTCCTCCATTTCTGCACTTGCTGGGCATTGGCCCTAAACTAGCAGTAATATTAAAATGGATGAAGATTAGTACTACACCCATACTGCTCCAACCTTATGCTTAATGACATGGATGTATGGTTGATTTTGTCATAGAAGGCTTTTACACACATGCTGGGAATCATAGAAATGTAGGACTGGAAGGGACCTTAACAAGTCGTGAAGTCCAGGCCCTTCTGCTGAGGCAGGATCAAATAAATGTAGACCAACCCTAATAGATGCTTGTCCAACCTGTTCTCAAAAACCTCAAATCATCGGGATTCTACAATCTCCCTTGGAAGCCTATCCAGAGTTTAAGATTTTCCTAATATCTAATCTAAATCTCCCTTGCTGCAGATTAATCCCATTACTTTTTGCCCTACCTTCAGTGGACATGGAGAACAATGGTTCACAATCCTCTTTATAACAGCACTTAACATATATGAAGACTTTTCAGGTCCCCCATCAGTCTTCTTTTCTCAAAACTAAACATTCCCAGATTTTGTTAACTTCTCTGCGGAGAGGTTAGATTTTCTGAATTTTTTCTCATTTTTGTTGCTCTCCTCTGGACTCTTTCCAATTTGTCCACATCTTTTATGAAGTACGGTGCCCACAACTGGACGCAGTACTCCAGCTGATGCCTTACCAGTGCCAAGTAGAGCAGGACAATTACCTCCTGTGTCTTACATACAATGCTGCTTTTAATACACCCCAGAATGATGTTTGACTTTTTCACAACTGCATCACATTGTTGAGTCATTCAATTTGACATCCACTATTATTCCCACATCCTCATTATCAATACTACTAGCCCATTATTCCCCATTTTGTAGTTGTGCATTTGATTTTTTCCTTCCCAAGTGAAATACTTTGCACTTATCGTTATTCAATTTCACCTTGTTGATTTCTGACCAATTCTCCAATTCATCAGGATAATTTTGAATTCTAATCCTGCCCGCAAAAGTGCTTTGAATGCCTCCCAGTTTGGCACCTGCAAGTCTAAAATATAATCTACACTCTATTAGCCAAGTCACTAATGAAAATATTAACTAGTACCAGATCCAGGACTGACCCCCGTGGGACCTCACTAGAGACACAATCCCAGTTTGACAGTGAACATGGTCTTTGAGAATGATCTTTCACCCAGTTATGCACCCAGTTTATAGTAATTTCATGGAGACTGCATTTCCCTAGTTTACCTCTGAGAATGTCCCATGGGACTATGTCAAAAGCCTTACTAAAATCAAGATATATCATATCTACTGCTTCCCCCCATCCACAAGGCCAGTAACGCTGTCAAAGAAGGAAATTAATTTGTTTTGGCATAATTTATTCTTAACAAACCATGTTGGCTCTTTCTTATGACCTTATCATCTTCCAGGTGCTTACAAAGTGATGGAATAAATTATTAAACAAATATCTTTCCAGGTATGTAGGTTAGACTGACTGGTCTCTAAGTCCCCGCCTCCTCTTTGTTCCCCCTTTTAAAGATAAGTACTACATTTGCCCTTCTCCAGTCCTCTAGTACTTCAACTGTCCTCTATGAGTTCCTGAAATAATTACTAATGGTTCCGAGATTGCTTCAGCTAGTTCCTTAAGTACCCCAAGACAAAATGTCATCAGGCCTTGCCAACATGAATACATCTAACTTATCTAAATATTCTTTAACCTGTTCTTTTCCTATTTTGTCTTGTGTGTCTTCCCCCTTGTTTCTTAATATAATTGTGTTGAGCATCTGGTCACCACTAACCTTTTTAGTGAACACTGAAGCAAAATAGGCATTAAACACTTTAACCTTCTTGATGTCATCAGTTATTAGCTCTCCTTCCCTGCTAAGTAGAGGACCTACGCTTTCCTTTATCATCCAATTAGTTCTATCCTCCAGCTGATCTTGTATTTCAATATACTGTTTTTGTCTGGATATTTGATCAGGATAGATAAGTAGGTCCTGACAGAATGGTTCACGTGCACACTTATCTCTATGGTAGCCTCTGATGATCAAGGAGAAAGACACTGGTGATCAAGGCCTAGACCCTCGAAAGTCGTTAAGCACCAGGCTGCCATTGAGGATTTGGGCCCAATTTTTAGTAGTCTGTGGGTCAGATTTATCCACTATTACTCACATTGAGTAGCACCTTACTCCACAAGTGTTTCCAATTATAACAACAGAGCTAATCGTGGAGTCAGATGTGTAAGTATTGGAGAATTAGGTCCTTTTGCATCTATCACCTTTAATTATATAAACACGACCCTTAACACCATTACCAGATACCATAAAACCAAACCTCAAAAACTGTGCTTAAAACATGCTTTCAAATAAATTAAGGGTCAAATCCTTGGAAATGCTGAGCACCTGCAATAGGACTTCAGAGGTATGTATCCCTGACAGTATAGTTTCCACAGAGGTGATGATTTGAGACTACCCAAATATGCAGTTTATAAAGATAGGTACATGGAAACATAACATTGAATGATATTCTGATAAATCAATGTTTTACTGAACATTCCTAAGACATTCCCTACTTACAATTTTTTAACATAATTTATCTAGGAATTTGGACAGCTTTTCAGATGTTATAAAATAAATCTCTCCAAATTTGAAGCTATGCCAATGTGTCTTAATGATATTATCAAACATAAGCCTACAACTTTGCCATTTAAGTGATCTAATAAAAAATTAAGTAGCTGGGGATTTTTTCTTATTCCCTCAATTAATTCCCTTTTGAAGGTTAACTTCCCTTCCTTTCTTAGTAAAATGCATAAAAATGTGCTATATTAAAAAGACATACAATTCAACTCAACATGTAAAGGCTATCAGAATGTGCTGGTTACGAATACTTTATTGCTTCCGGAGACCATTTTTGTACTTTACCCTCGTCACTCAGCTGGAGACTGTTTAATCCCAGAATCAAACTAAAAATATTGCAGTTTTGTAAAGAATGACAGTCCCCAACTTTAAATTGTGTCTTTTGTTATATTAGTAACTGCTTCCCTTTATACCAATGTCACATGAAGGAGATGGTGTGGAATTCAAGTCAAGCATTAAATCCTTTGATGACTTTAACCTTCAGAAAGTTGTGATGTGTAGTGGTTAGAGCAGTAGCCTGACAATGCTGTGTTTTCCATATCTGCAATGTACATTGCTTGTGTGCACCTGACAGCATTGTCTTTGATTTAATTTAAAAAGTCCTTGCAATAATATATTATTGAAGAAAATTAAGAACATCATGTTACAACCAATGGTGGATTAAGGCATAAGCAGTATGGTCCATGCCTATGAAGTCAACTTTTGAAGTCACATGAGATCACAATCTTAGATTTCATTTAAATAAAATATTTCTAGCCTTTGTGGTTGTGAATAAGAGCCCAACTATACCTGCTACAGCAATTTCTGCCAGGTTGTGCAGACAGCCCAGAATAACTGGAAAGATTTAAACAGCTCCATGCATCTCAACTCTGACAGCTGTTGGTTTTAGGGTGCCCTCCAATAACACAATATTGTCATTGTGTAGTGAAGGTAAGTCTTCCTGCTGCCATTATGTCATGATGATGATGCCTTCTCCTCGTCTGTCAATCATAAGTAATTATATTATGACCCCCATTATCATAGTTCTGTATTTATCCTCATACCAACCCTGTAAGACAAGGAAATGCTACTATCCCCATTTCACAGATGGAGAACTGAGGCACAGAAAGATGAAATAACATACCCAGGAAATATGTAGCAGAACAGGGATTTGAACCAGGGTTTCCAAAAGCCAAGATCAGTGCCCTAATCACTGACATATCCTTCATCTCATGGGTCAGAGTTCTCTATGTGGGTGGATGCGGAGTCTTCTTTCTCTGGGACACAACCCAGCTGGCCTGAAGACAGGAAGAGGGAGATGGAGAATGCTGTGCCTACAAAAGATGAGAAGGGTCAGATCCCACACAACACCAGCAAATTACTTTTATGTGCTATAGCCCAAGCAGGGGTTGAACTGCACTATGGGGTGGAGTTTGAGGTGAGGTCTATCTTCAGCCCTCCATTGCCTTAATGTATCCCTAGTTATGATTGTTTCCAGTTGTCCTGAAATGTATCTTTGCTATTACCTATTGTATAACTACTAATCATTACAAGTAAGGTTTGTGTTATGCAGGAGGTCAGGCTAGATTACCACAATGGTCCCTTCTAGCCTTGGAATCTATGAAGCAAGGTATCATGCTGGCATTCATGGACATAAATCATTTGTCATCTATTGAAGGTTAGGGGATTACACAGCTAAGTGATAAAATAAAAGCTAAAGCCCATATCCTTGATAAAGCTTTGCCTGTTTTGTCTTTCACTTAGGATTACCGAGTGAATATCTTTCTCCGTCAGAATTGGAATGATCCACGCCTTGCATATAGCGAATATCCAGATGACTCTTTGGATTTAGATCCATCCATGTTGGATTCTATTTGGAAACCTGATTTGTTCTTTGCTAATGAAAAAGGTGCCAACTTTCATGAAGTTACGACAGACAACAAGTTGTTACGAATTTTCAAAAATGGAAATGTTCTTTATTCTATCAGGTGAGTCTCTGATAAAGGAATCTTTTTTAAAAAAAAAATACTTTTAACAGGCAGGGACACTTGGAACCGAATATCTCCAATTGTTATTTAATTGTGCAATTAAATTATGCAGTGAAGTCAATGTGAGTTTTGAGTGCTGAATTGGTATTACAATAGCACCCACAGCCTCGACAGAGAACAGGGCCTTATTATACTGGGCTGTTTACTTACACATAGTAAGAGATCACCCCTGCCCTGAAGAGCTTATGATCTAAATAGACAAAATAACTTACAGAAAAAAATAAAGAATTATTATTCCCATTTTACAGGTGAGGAACTGAATCACAGAGAGATTATGTGGCTTCCCAAGGGCACACAGGAAGTTTTTGGCAGAGCCAGTGAGAAAATGCAGACCTCCTGAGCATTAATATTTGGGCAGGACTATAAATTGGTTCAAGCTCTAGCCTTCATTCTAAATATTTTTCCATGATCACAAATGTTCAGGAGACCAGAGATGATGCTTTTCACATAGTCCTGTCCCCCCAAGCATTTCCTCCTTCCTTCATTTAATTGTTGTAGCTGTTCTTAAAGGTGGAAACTAGGAACAGTTTAATATATCAGTAGCCACATAGTACTCAAAGAGCTGCTCACATATTACTGGGAGGGGGAAACATTTTGGAGACAGACGTATTAACTTTTTTTTTTTTTTTCACATTTTGTGAAACTTTTGAGAAGTTGTACCTACCTAACACGTAATAAAACGAATATTGACAAAATCAAGTTACTCTGATGATTACCGCCTTGCTTCTCTTCTCCTCTTTCCCACTTCTGCTCTGGCATTACTGTAGCAGCCAGTATTCTCCTAAACACCTACATCCAGAACCTCAAAAGGTATTTAGGCACCTAACATTGATTTCAGTCCTTAACACTAGAGATGACTGCCTTGTACCATTTGAAAGTTAGGCGTTGAAGCTTTCATAAGGTGTATGTAATTGGTTTTTAGCTCTAAACACTTCTTAAGGTATCACCCATTACTTGTAGAAACTGAGGTGTGTGTGTGGGGGGGAGAGATAATAGTAATCAAAAAGGTGTGATTTCAGTGTCCCATGTGGTATTTCACAAATTAGGACTAGAAGTCAATAATAAAGCATTTCAGGAGTGAAGTTCTAGGACCTGATTTTCCTTTGCATTACATTTCAGTTTTACACTAATCTCCACTTTACAGTTTCCTGTGTCCTAAAAAATCCAATCTACTTGACAGATTTATTTGTAAAATACATCTATCACCATTGCCATAAGAAACAGCAATTCAATTTTACAATGACAGCCAAAATTTTGATCAACTGCACTTTAACTCATTTTTCAGCATTCCCCTCTGTTTTATGATAGTACAATTTGGAGCAAAGTGTACTCTTTTCATTTGGTGTTTCACCTTGCAGGCTTTTAGGGTATTGCATTCTACTGTGAGGCCTTTTGGTCTGACAAAGAGAGGAGTCTGCATATAAACTGATGCATTAGAAGTCTGGACAAAATGCTGTTCTCGTGTTTGGGTGCACAACTGGGGGAAGAGTGCTCAGGAAGTCCCCCTCCTTCCAATGTTACAGGGCAGCAGTTTGTCTTGATTAGCAGGTGGGATCCCTGGCAAATTTTTCCAACATCATTTCTATGTCTCAAGGAGGTCTGGTTGGCCAGTCTGTGGAAATAGTCAGGGCCCCCGTTCTCTTGCATGCACTCGGCCATTGACAGCTGACTGTCAGGGGGCACAAAGTACTCCCATTTTGGAGCATGAGTAAGGAGCACTGCTGCATGAACCGTCTCCATATTCTCTAATTCATGCTGACATGCACTGGCAAGATGGCTCTTGGAATCTGTTCAGACACTATCATTCTGAACCATCCTGATTCCCCCTCCTAATTTCATATGGCACAGATTGGCAAGGGTAAGAGTTGGATTAAAGGCCCAGAGTTGGATTTAAGGCTCAAATCCAAGCCCCACTGAAGTCTCTGAAAGTTTTGCTAATGACTTCAATGGGATTTGGTCTGTCTTGTCTAGATGAGGTAGAATGGAGTAGTTTGAATGCACATTGAAAAGAATGTGATACATTACTGTACTAAAGGTATAAAACCAAACATTCATTGTGCTGAGAGTAAACTCCAATTAGTTCATAGAATTCTTATGGTGCCAGGGTAATTCCAGTGATTACTCTACCATAATTTAATTGCCAAAAAATTTCAACAGGACCAACAGACCCAGTCAATAAAAAAAGACTCAAAATTGTATAATCAACATGTAGATGAGTATTCATCTGAATTTAAATTAGTTTTGCATTTGTTGAATATAGACAAGGTAATTCTGAAATAGTTGTCATTCAAAAGAAAACGTTGACAACCTTTAAAGTGCTGAGTTTTCTTTTTCCACCAAACGTAATTGCAAGTGAATAACATATGCAGACCAGAAGTGAATGATGAATGTAGTCACATATATACGTTAGTAACCATGAAAGAGCCATTTTTCAATTTAGACTTTGTTTTAAATTAGAATTTACATTTAGACTTGTTTTTTTGGGAAAGTAAAGACAAGGGGTCAGATTATCAGTCAGCCCCCATAATGGGGACCTTCCATAACAGGGCAGTTGTGGTTTCCCCTTCTGTAGGGGATCCCTGCCTACAGAGAACCCCAAAGTGCTGTAAAGCTGGCATACCTGGCTCCATGCACACAGTGCACCAAAAGTGGGAAGGGGCATGGGCAAAACATTCTGTGTACTAATGATCCATGGCCAATGGAACAATATCTCATGCCCTCCAACTCTAACTTGTTCTTGAGGCCAAAATGGATTGACCCCAGAGTTCTGGGGGAGGGGCACAAAGGTGCTGGAAAGTCTTATTCACACTGCACCTAACCTTCTGCAGGCTGACCTGTTGAATTTGACAGCAAGCTGTTCATCTCAAACATCAACCACTACCATCATTGTCAGGTAATGCTGCCAGTGTCCTCCTGCCTTAAAACTTGCAGACCTTGCATCTACATTTGCCCTCCGACAGATGTTTCCATGAGAGGTCATTGTGTGACAGTCTACTTGCTACATTTACATACCTTTTCTGGTTGTATCGGTAGCTACAGAGATTTACTTTTGCCAGCATCTTTCTCTGATCAGTTGCAGGGATGTGATTGTAAAACAAAGTAGTCACAGTGAAAGGTCATTTGCATCACCTGCAAGCCTTTTCTAAGTGCTGGCATGGAGCCTAAATAAATGATGTACGGCTAAAAGTAAACGTGTATAATTAAAAATACAAGTGTTCAGCAATAGATAATAAAACCTTTTCAGCGTGCTATTTCTGCAGAAATTGGTATTTAGGTCTTTTTATAGTCCATATGTTCAAGCAGAAGCAAACTTCATATGAAGTCAATGGGACTTTTGGGAGGAAAAGGAATCCAGGGATCACATCCATTGTCTATATTCTCAGGTCTGTTCTATACTTAAAACTTAGATCAATATAGCTATGGCACAGAGGGGTGTCAAAAATCCACAGGCCTGAGTACTATGGCTATGCTGACCTAACTCCCAGGGTAGATGAGGCTAGGTCAATGGAAGAATGCTTCTGTCCATCTAATATTGTTCAGGGCAGGAGAGTTCCTTCAGCTACAGAAAAACCCTTATTTTGCTACAGTCTGGACTACAAGCTTACAGTGACAGCTACAGCACTGTAGGTGTACTGCTATAGCACCTATAGCGTAGGCATCGCATCACTCTGGTATAATTATCATGCATCTGGGATAAGAGAGTTTAGTAATATACTTTGTGTAAGGGTCAAGAAGAAATCCGGTAAGAAATCCTCTTAATTGACACTATTACATTTTCTCTTAACTGAATGTTACCACTGAGTGGATCCAAACGAAGTTGAAAAATGTTGATTACATTTAGTTCTAATTCAAGGTAGTGTGACAAAGTTCCTGCTCTACCTTGGTGGGTCTTGTGCTTATTGGCGGATTTGCTCACCTTGGAGCTTCACAGCAACCCTCAGCTTGGCCGTTTTTCTGAATTCACAGTCCAGGTCGACTCCTCCTGTGTCTGACCAGGAGTTGGGAGGATTTGGGGGGAACCTGGGCCCACCCTCTACTCCGGGTTCCAGCCCAGGGCCCTGTGGAATGCGGCTGTCTAGAGTGCCTCCTGGAACAGCTGGGCGACAGCGACAACTCCCTGGGCTACTTCCCCATGGCCTCCTCCCAACACCTTCTTTATCCTCCCCATAGGACCTTCCTCCTGGTGTCCAATAATGCTTGTACACATCAGTCCTCCAACCGTCCGCGTTCTCACTCTCAGCTCCTAGTGCCTCTTGCTTCCAGCTCCTCACACACACACCACAAACTGAAGTGAGCTCCTTTTTAAAACCCAGGTGCCCTATTAGCCTGCCTTAATTGATTCTAGCAGCTTCTTGATTGGCTGTAGGTGTTCTAATCAGCCTGTCTGTCTTAATTGTCTCCAGAAGGTTCCTGATTGTTCTGGAACCTCCCCTGTTACCTTACTCGGGCAAAAGGGACCTACTTAGCCCGGGGCTTATATATCTGCCTGCTATTACTCTCCTATAGCCATCTGGCCCAACCCTGTCACAGTACTGTAATACTAAACTTTAATTTAGCAATTATGTCTAATCAGCAGAATAACACAGAGCTCTCTTACAATCAGCACTGTCCACTTTATAACAGCACCACTATTTATGTATTTATTTATCATGAGTAATTTCCGCTGGATTACATATAGTATCATTACTCGTAGAATCAATCAGAATACTTTATACTCACATTTTGATCACTGAATTTAATATTTCTGTATTAGTATCTTTGTAGCAATTTATAACTGATAAATTAGTCTTGGATCATAAAAAGCTGCCTATTAGTCTGTGGCATAGTACCCCAAAGAAAGAGGTGAAAACCTAATTCCTGGAAACACTGCAAATTAGATTGGATAAAGTCAGATTTACAGCATTGTTTCTCAAACTGGGGTCTGCAGACCACTGGGGGTCTGCAAGCGTAGTCCAGTGGGTCCACAGGCCCCACTGATCCCAGCACCTCTTGCATGCCAGGGAGTAGCTGTTCTGTGGCATGCAGGAGGCACTTGGAAGGAGGGGAAGGAATCAAGTCTGGGGCTGCCAGCCCTGCTGATCAACTCCTACAGCCCCCTCCCAGTGCTTCCTGCATGCCAGGGAACAGCTGTTCAGCGGCATGCAGGAAGGGCTGGGAGGGCGGGGGAGGACCGAAGATGGGGTGTGTTTGGGGTAGGCGTGGAGCAGGGGCGGGGAGAGGTGGAGTGGGGGCAGGGCCTGGGGCTGAGTGGGGAATTTGGGGGATTATGCACAATTTTAAATCAAAATGGGGTCCTTGGTTGCTAAAGTTTGAGAACCGCTAATTTAAAGTATTCTGGGGGGGAAAGAAATCCTGCATTAGCAAGAAAGGCCTACATTACCAAATAAGCCTTTACCATTTCTTGCTTAGGCCCCCAAGTCAGCAAAACATTTAAGCACATATTTAACTTTAAACTGTGCTTAAGTTCTGTTTAAATCAACTGAAGTCATTGGTCCTGATTCCCATTTACCCTAAGGCATCTTTACACTATGCATTACATTTTGTGGCCTTTTTATACTGCCAGAGTGGTGTAAACGGGTTGTACTGCAAAGCAGCAGCAACTCATTGACTTCCATGGGACTTGAAAACATGCTTAAGTCCTTTGCTGAACTGGGCTTCATATGATAGGGCTTTATTGTACCTTATAGCACTGCCCCATGCAGAAGGTGGTGAGGGACTGCACCACCTCAGTGGAAACAGCAGGTCCAGTTTGCCTCCAGAGTTTCCCAGCACACCAGGGTAGAATGCCCAGAAGATGCTGCTCTTGCTACCTTCTGTGGCTGGCTAGCTCTATTAGCCAGTGTGAGTTTGAGGGGTGGAATGAGACTCGACCTTTCTGTGCCCCTTTTGGGATGATCTGTGTCTCAAGAGATGCTATTAGGGAAGAGTCCCTCTGCATATTTTTGACTGACTCCTGCATAGGAGGAGCATATGGAAGGAAGGGTCCTTGTAAGGCTGCTACTCACCCACCCAAAGACTAGCCAAAATTTGATCCATACTATATAATTTTCAACAGTATGCTGTCAAAGAAACTACACAAAAACTGAAAGGCCAATAAAATATCTCCATGATATGATTCACAGTAGGAACTATGAAAGCAAGACTGTTTTCTTTCTCTGTGCATCTCTTCTTTCTTATCCCTAACAAGTATCACACTAAATATAAATTATGGTATTATTTTCATATTTAAAAATAAGTTTAGTGCCTATAGAACTGCAACATGGTTTACTAGAAATATTATGCCACAAAATGCAAGTGGTTTGTGCAGTTTAAAATCACAGGTGCATTCCTTTGGTATAATACTGACACCCGAAACATCACCTTTAACATGTTCATGTTGGGAATTTAACTGTATTGCCTTTTAGGATACAAATGCTTATATTACTCTTCCAGCATGAGTTGCACCTCTCATCTGTTATGTAATTCCTTAGGGGAGAGCGACTTGGTAAACTGTATGCCAAGGATATGCAATACTGTAATATCTTTGTACTTTATAGTAATATAAAAAATGTCAACGCATTTCTGTGGAATACCCACTGAGTTTGAGAATATGGTTGTAATAAATAATATTTTAGATTAGTTTTATGTTTTGACTCTCCTTTTCTTTTTAAATCACAAATGCAAAGCAGGATTCTTACAAGAGAGTCAGAATGGTTCAATTGGGTTAGAGTGTTTCTTACAAATACATTGAGTTATTTTCAACTACCACTAACCACAGGTGTGTTAACATTTTTGTTCTATGTCCCCCTATGGTATTAGAGGTATATTTTTAATAATGGTTTTGTATTCTTTCAGATTGACTTTAATACTGTCCTGTCCAATGGATCTCAAAAATTTCCCAATGGATGTGCAAACATGTATAATGCAGCTGGAAAGTTGTAAGTGTGAACAAAGTATTCTTCTACGAATAACTGTATAAAGATGACAGTACATGCTGGGATAGAAAAGGTGGTAATATAGAGAATTCTGCCTTTTCAAAATAAGCATGTTTTGTTAATGTTCTGTACAATTATGGCCTTCCCATACAATATACAGCACTGCTTGAATCCAAAAAATTTCTTAAGGGCCAGAGTCTGCCATCCTTTGAGTAGTATTATGCAGATAGTAAATTCCTTCTCAGCATGAGTAAGGGTTGTAGATTCTGGTCAATAAGTTGTAAAGTATTATTTATTTTGAGAGGTTTGTGGAATTATTTCAGAAAAGTTCCATTATTCTAAAATATGAGCTTTGGTGAGTACTTCCAGTTTAACAAATTCAACCTGATTTCAGAGACCTGCATTTCAGTATTATAGTATTCAGTTTTTAGCATGCCTATGCAGTATTTTTTCCTAGAATGCTGTTCATTTTTAAAAAATGTAACACTGTATGTTTACATAAATTCTTGATTCTATTACACAAATGTCCGTAACATCAGAATATGGCCCCTTCTTCACTAAGGACCCTTTCTAAAGTCTTTACTCAGAGTTGGCAGGAAAAGGATGGTACCCCAACAAAATAAAGTGAGAGACTAGTCTACACACTCTGTGAATACGCTGAAATCCATGGGGATCCAGAAGGAAAAGAGTCAAGAGTCATCCATACAAGGCCCTGCTCCTCTGATCTGGCCCAGCTCTGTAGCTCTACAATATCCCCATTAGATTCCCATGTCTCTGGCTTTCCTTGGGATCATCCTAAAAGGGGGATTTTCCCAACATAGAGGAGAGAGCTGTGGAAAGGAAATAAATCCTTTGGCAAAGGAATCTCCACTTGGCAAAGATAGGATGATATGCATCCCCCACGTACTCCATCCCTCAGCCCACCCACCTTCTCAACCCATATAACTCCTTGAATCCACAGAACACCCTGTCTAGGATCCATGGAAAAGGCAGCATATTGAGCCCTCTCTATAAGGGTGGCAGAGACCTACATATGGAAGGGACCATCCAGGTAGAGATCAGTTGAACATAAATATGCCCCTTGATCTTTACCAAGTCAAAACTTCTTCTGACATCAAAGGACTGTATAATGAAGACTTACTGATGGACTCAATGGAATTTGTACCACATAACCAGCTTGCCATTTAATGTAGCCAACAAAAAACAGTAGGGAAAGAAGGGCCTAGTGGTATTAAGTTCTTCAACTTAAAGCATTAAAATATATACAAAGAGTGAAGCTTTAACACAAAACACAGCATTTATTATGTTCTAATAATTCCACCCTGGAAAAAAGCAAGCATACTAGTCGAAGTAATTTATATGCTATCTTTGTTAGGCCTCCATTTGAGTATACATATCTCCTTAATTGGAAAAAGATTTAAGACTTCAGATTAAAGGAACAGTTCAGTTGAAATACATTTGAGTTAACCACCACTCTTGTGAAATACCCACCACTCATGTGAAACAAAAATGATGCTTGATAACGCTTTATACTATGCATAATATCTATCTCAGGATGTCCATTAAAACAAAATGCAAGGTGAATATGTCGGAGCATTATTTCTTTCCACAATCTAAACTATGCCCATGCTAATTTTTTAAAAAAAATAATCAAGGCCCAGATGACTCTCCCTTTGATACATAAATGGAGGGGAGGCTCTGTTCACAAAACTCCCTCCAGCTATGAGAAAAAGGTGCTTAGTCACCTCCACAGAACCATCCCCCCATTCGGCTCTGGGACCTGCAGCGGTACTGTAAGGTCCTGGGATTTAACTTGAGCTAGTGCAGAGGCACTAGACACTCACACAGATGGTTTGGACCTCCCCTAGTCTCCGCCAAACCCTACCCTTACTATGGGATCATTTGGATGTGATGTCTGGAAGAGAGTTCATCCCCCACATCCCCTTCCTGAAGGTGTTTCTACAAGAGGGGATGATGTATACCGAGAGAGCCTTCACTGATGAGAAATAAGTCAGTTAAGAATAGTGTGAAATGTAGTGATACACAAAGACAGAAATATTTAGCAAAAATGATAAATATATATCTTATAATATGCTCTTTGCTTTATATTTTTAGTATTGTAATTAAAATGTTCATAAGTAAAAGTATTAATGAGATTCCTGTATCTAGAATGTGCATAGTGGATTATTTAGAATATTAAGACAGAGAAGCAAAACAGATGCCTAACTTGATGGATGAATTTCTTACAGTGTTTCAAAACCACGTGTACGTTGAAGGGTTGAAAGAGGCATCATTATTTTTTTTTAATTGGAACAGGGAGGGACAGTGAGAAAGGTGAATAAACATCATTGGGAGGTGATTCAGCATAACTCAATCTGTCAAAATTATTCACTGTATGATTTTATTGTAGGCTTTTAAAAAACAAATTGCAAGGTGATTTTGAAAGTTAGTCCTGCCTTTCATTACAGTGGGTGGATGGTAATATTGTCAAGTGGTCTCTGAATGTTAGATTAATGGCTGAGTTGAACAGGAATTTTCCTGACAACAAAATTGAATGGCAACCTTAGTTACTTGTTTCAAAGGTCAAGGCACTTTAGGTCATACTGCACAATCAGTGTTTACACAGAACTTTTCATTGAGCACAATGGGAAATCTTTTTAACAACTGATGCCATGATCTGGCTTTTATAATTAAGTGTAACTACAGCAAATGTTACCAGGAGGCAATTATACTGGAGCGCATACATATGCCAGGTACATTTGCTCTATATAAGAATGTTTCCACAAAGCAAACAAAAATCACATTTCACTGAACAAACAGAAAAAAATAATTTAAAACCTCTTTTTGCATTCAGAAAGTTATGAGTTTTAACATGCAATCTTGAAACATTTACTTGATTAAAAAAATTCATAAAACTTTCCTATGTTTTTCCTCTCTTTTGACCATAGTAAGCATAGATAATACAGCATCTGAACATTCTTATGCAATAGAACCTGCTTTGTTTTATAGAAACTTACAAATTCTCACTAACTGCACCCTAGGGAGCCAACAAACACTTATTAGCTGCATAGCATTATTGATGTTATAATTTCCAGCAGAACCTTTTGCACTGAAGTCTTCATGTTAATCATCCGTTTCAGTGGGAGTAAATCCCCTGTTGCATAATCATGTGGTACACCCAGATGATACTCACAAAGGTAAAGAGTGGTACAAAAATACAAATTAATTTTTCTGTAAATACACAGTCTTCCTGTCACACCAGTAAATGATCTATAACCTTATTCAAAAATGGATATGTTGTCATAGCTTTTACTTGGTTGCACAAGGAAGTCAGGGGACATACCCCTCATGCTCCCCACCCCTTGCTCCCCTGCTTCGTCCTGATCTGATTGTGACTCCAGATGTAGGCAGAAGAGTAGGGGCTGTTGCCCCATTTGCCCCACTGCAATCAAGTGAGCACATTTGGGGTGGTGAAGAGCCCTGGCTCCACCCACCTGTCTGACAGCCAGATCAGCTGGCTCGGATTTTCAGGACGTAAACTCTCTATGAAAAGGGATGAGGTAACTTAATCCCCACCAAGAGCAAGAGAGAAGCGGAAGAGGAATTGTCATAATTCATTCTCTGAGATGCTCCTTCAGTGATGCAGATCTGTGCTGTCCTTTAGTTAAGACAGACTGACAAGTTACGATTTAAGTCAAAGCATTTTAAACAATACTTTCACTACCATTCCACGGAAAATCAAAACAGTAGCACATAAACGAATTAGCATGGATTCCGGAGGTCCTCATTCCCCGTAAGAAAGAAAGAAATATGGCCCAGTTCACCTGTGCCTTGAATTTAACCACCTCCTTTACCAACAATATGCCTTTGCTCTTTTCCTCTCCAATAAAAGACTTTTAGTGGGTTTACTAGATGGCCTCTTTATAAACTCAAAATATAGAGAAGAACTTGATTTTTCTCTTAATACTTCATGAGGATGAAGCTGGAACAATCAGGGTTATTTTCTTGTAACAAATAACCAGAAATCGTTTTGGACAATTATTTTTCCATCTCCTTATTTTCACCTCCATCCGGGTTGAGCCTACAAACCGTACTCATTTGAGTAGTGCTGATGCTGGAGTAGTCCCATTTAAGTCAATGAGACTGCTTCCATAAGGATTACTCACCTGAGCAAAGATTTCAGGCCTCACAGATATTTAGAACAGCAAGCTGCAACATGTACAACTCATTTCTTACTGGAATCTCTCTTAAGTACACATGAGCATGTTGTGAAATAACGTTACTGCTCAGTAGCAGAATCTCAACCACTGCTGCTGTTGTTCCCCCTGCACGGAGGGCTCGAAGTGCAGCTCTTGTTTACAACTTTTCTCCCCAAACCACTCCTTGGTGACATGCTCAGTCTTCAGCAGCCCTTGAGATAGTATTCCCAAGGTCTCTCCAACCCCTTGGATCTACAGCTGTGATATTGGGACAGTGACATATGTTATTTATATCAGTAGGTGGTGTAGGACTTTTTTAATTGCAAATATTTTTGCAATTTTTTAAGAATGGGTTTTACCAAACTCTTACTGAAAAATAGTTTTCTTTATCCTTACCAACTGAAATGAACTGGTTGGGGCTCCCCTCCATCTCCTTAAAGCAAGACTAGATATCTTTTTAAAAGACCTGCTATAGCTCAAAGAGAAATGATGGGCTTGATACAGAAATTACTGAGTGAGACTCTACAGCCTGGGTTATGTAGGAGGTCAGACTAGATGATCATAATGGTCCCTTCTGATCTCCAATTCTAGGAAACTATATATTAAAAAGGAGGAAAATAAATGAATGATAACAATAGTATGAAAAGAGCAGTGTTCATGCCAGGGCAACTCAAGAGCCTCCCTGATAATTTTATTTCTGTTCTATTTGAACAATATATAGAATAATGATAGCTAGAAACATATCTTATTCTTGTGACATCTCTCCTCAGCACAATATTTCCCCTTAATAGAGCTTTTTGTGTC